CAACAACAACAGGCTCATTCTGAAGAAAAAAAAAAGTAGTTCAACTCCTAGTGTCCTCTCGCAAACCGGAGAAACAGCATACAACGGTTTGTTTGTTTTATCATCTTCGGTGATCGCAAAAGCAAGTTTCCATTTCTGTCATCTCCCGGCATCAACTAAAACGAGTAAAAACGCGCGACTAGCACGTTCTCCAACACTGCTCGGATCTTTTAACAACGGGGGGAAAAATGGATATGACTAACTCGGCAAATGTCTTATTATGAATTCACCCCTTAATAAAATTATGAAAAATTAAAAAAAAAAGTCTGTTTTTTATTTAAAAAAACAAAAACAGCAGTTCGGTCAAACAGTTTTAAAACGCGCCAGCCTGGTGGGTACAACGGGCATGAAAAGGCATTGAACCCGGTCCAAAAAGCTGATCCAACGCCCCTTCCTCTCTTTATATAGACAGGTAACGCCAGGAACACTGGAGGCATCGGAATGTCATTGGGTGTTAGGACAAGGTGTGTTGGTGGTGACTTTGATGGGGGGTACACCAAGCGCCTCCCCCAGAAATGCAGCAAATCTCTCCCCTCCACTCCGCGCTCGGAGCTACGCGCACCGCGGAGACGAGACGCGTTTGGCTGGGAAGCCGGGGCCGCCGTGTATTGGCGAGCTGCGGATGACACGTCTCTCCCCCTCGCCGCCCCCCGGCGCCTCGGCTGCGCATTGGCATCGCTGACGGCCGAGGCACAGTCACTGTGGGCGAGCGCTGCATCCGAGAGCGAGAGGGACGAGGGGGTTTGTTTGTTTTTTTTTTAAAAAACAAACAAACAAAATTGACAAAAATAAAAACCGAGAGAGACCGTTAAAGAAAAGAAAAAAGATCCCAGCGGGACCCGATTGATCGTTCCAAAGCTTTGCCTACGCCAGGCTTCTCCCCCCCAAACCACCCCCCCCCCCCCCAAAAAAAAAACAGTTTTCAATCGATCGATCAGTTCGTTTGCTCGCCTGTGTGCTTGTGGCGTTGGGGTTCATCTCGGAGGCCAGGACAGGGGATGCGGGGACCGAGAGCCGGGGTCTGAAGGTGACATGAACCCGGCGATTCTCCGGAGCAGCCGGCGCACTTTGAACAGGAACTGGAGATAACAGCCGATCGATCTCACTCACCGCCCGGGCTCTCCTGGAGTTTCTGCGCGACTTGCGTTTTTCCTTCTGCTTTTCTCCTCAAGATCCCACCCAGGACAGCCGCCGATTCCGTGTGACAAAACTTCCAAAGACCGTAAACGCATATTGACAACAACAACAACAAAAAAAAAACAAAACAGAGGTTTAGTCAAGTTGAGAAAAGGGAACGATGGCAACCTTAATCCGAAGTAAGATCTCCAACAAGCTTTCCAACGCCGCCACCTCGGTGACCAACAAGTCGCAGGCGAAGGTGAGCGGCATGTTCGCCCGGATGGGGTTTCAGGCGGCCACGGACGAGGAGGCTCTGGGGTTCGTCGCCTGCGACGACCTGGACTACGAGCACCGGCAGGGGCTGCAGATGGACATCCTCAAGACGGACGAGGCCGGCGGGGAGGCGGGCGGGGAGCCGGCGGCGGAAGGGGACAGCCACTACCAGAGAGACGGCACGGGCCCGCCGCCCTCGGCCTCGAAAGACGGGGGGTTGTGCGCCGAGCTGGCGGCCCAGGACAAGCCGAAGATCACGGCGTGGGAGGCGGGCTGGAACGTCACCAACGCCATCCAGGTAAAGGCGCAGAACGGGTCGCGGTCCCCACCCCCCCCCTCCCTCTCTGGGTCGGAACCGGGGGACACCTCCAGCGCCCACTGGGACGACGTCGGCTTTTCGGGGGCGCTGGGGGTTACCGCGCAGGTAGTCGCTTACCCCAGCGCGGTGTCAGGGAAGAAGCGGAGAGGCTAAGGGCACGTAACAGCCGTGCTCCGTTTCGGAGAGTTGGCGGGGGGCGTACTGAAGTGAACCGACGTGGGGCGAAATCCTGACACCACGACAAAACACAACGTATCTTCGACTCCCTTTTAAAAAACGCCGTTGCGACATTAGAAACGGGTCGGTGGCGGGCTTGTTTCGTCTGTGTGTGTGTGTGTGTTGGTTTTCTTAACGAATGCCGCCTTGTTTTGCGAGGGCAGGGTCGGTCGCGATGCTGGGGGGACGGTGCTCTGACATTCCTAACGAAATGTGCGCAGCGCCGGCAGATGTCGGTATCCCTGGAGACCGCAGAGCCGGCGGTGCCGGAGCCCAGCGCGACCCTGCGCCGATACACGGTGGATTTCGTGACGGAATCCTTCTTCTGCTCGGGAGCTGACGGCGCGATCCGTTCTTCCCCTTCCTTCACATAAAACGACTCGTCCCGCTGCTTAAAATATTAATTTACCGAAGATAGTGTTTCCTGCACTTGTTATAATCTTAACACCCAGCCCGCGCGCTCTCCCGAGATCAATGCGGCGCCAACAGTATATTTCAACGGTAGTATATATCGCTGTTGGTATATTTCAACGGTAGTATACATCACTGTTGGTATATTTCAACGGTAGTATACATCACTGTTGGTATATTTCAACGCTATCGGTGCCTACAGTTCTTCAGGAGCGTCTCAGTAATTATGTAATTATTCAACTGCTATAATAATTCTGATACATGCATTTCCATTTATACTATTGAAATGTAATGTAACAAAATCGTCGACGACTTTTTAAATAGGTTAATACCCTTTCAAAAAGGGAAACGTACAGAAAAAAATATAAATATGTATTTTTTTTGAATACACAAAACGATTCTTGAGAAGAAACACTAACGATCTCGTCGGCGTCCCTCTGCAAGGTCACGCAGGACAATTCACTCCGAACTGCTCTGCAATAACGATATTTAATGTACATTTTGCCATGCAATATAGTCTATATATTTCATACCTTTAAGAAAAATAAAGGTCGTTAAATTTCCCTGAATTCAAAAACTGCAAATCGTTTAAGCAAAACACAGCGTTTCACGCCGCAACGGGAAAACGATTTAACGAAAATCCCGGGTATACCGCACACCGAGCGTCTAAAAGCTTTGGGTTGACGGGTCTGGGCTTTTAATAATTTCTCTCCATTCCCTACAGCTGATCGCTGTGTGGAAGCAGGTTGTGGTCTAGCTAGAGACCATGCGTGCCTCGGCCCGCAGAGGCCACAGAGCACACGTCTGCCGCGCCTGGCTGCGCACCTGGTGGGTGGAACAGTATGTTTCCAACCGGGCCGGGCGCGGCGAAGTATCCCAACACACGCAGTTGAATAGACTAGGTCCTGTAGCTCTTGACAGTCAGTGGGCTCTTTCCGACACGGCCCCACGCACACACACACGCACAAATACCCTTTCCTCATCCAGAGCCCCATTCCATCACGCACAATTAAAATAACTGTCACGGATCCGCGTGAAGGCAAATGTTACGTCACGTCACCCCAGCCCCCACCCCGGAGTGCCAGAAAGGCCGAGGAGGGCAGGCGGGTGTGTTCAAAGTCAAGGGGAATACAGCAAGCGCTCTTCCACCCCGTCAGACTTCATTCACTAACTTCCCCTCGACAGGCTCGAATGCGTCATTCATGTTTCACACGCACGGACAGAATAGTGGAGCGAGTACGGGTTTCTTCCCCGCTGGAAAGAGAAGAAAAGGCTCCCCAGCCGAAACGTATTTTCTTCTCTTTCCAGCGGGGAAGAAACCCGGCACCTGTTCCTTTGCAGCCCGGGCGTGGTGCTGACGCAGCTCCCCACTCGAACTGCACAGAAGAGTGTCGTGGGCAACGTTTAGAAATCCAAGCTTTCGGCCTGGCGCTAGGTGTGGGGGGGAAACTTTGTGAAATGTTTTACAAGAGGCCGCCTGTATATTCCAGTCCACGGAAAGGAAGGAAGACTTACAAAAAAAAAATCGAGAGATTTAGTAATTCAAGAGTTTCTCTCGCGCCAGAGATGTGCGGTCTGGACAAGAGAGCGCGTGTGCCTCGTCAGTATTTTGATTTCGGAAATGCTCTGGGTGCGGGGTAAACGGGAGCTTCTAAGCGGATTGAACATCTGTGGGAACGGTGTGCTTACGTGACGTTGTTCCTTTCCAATGCTCCCTAAACAGCCGGAACAGCGAACTGTACCCCGCTGGCTCCGATTTCGGGGCGCGCTTCGGCTTGTTTCATGCAATTTCCTAGATCCTCAAATCTAAAAATATAAAATCACGCGAATAAAATCATCGCCGCTGCCGGGCTCGCGGGCTGCGGGGCTCCTCTCGTGGGCGCGGCGCTTTCCACAGCGGCTGTGTTTTCCGTCCGCAGGGGATGTTCGTCCTGGGGCTGCCCTACGCCATCCTCCACGGCGGGTACCTCGGCCTCTTCCTCATCATCTTCGCCGCCGTGGTGTGCTGCTACACCGGCAAGATCCTCATCGCCTGCCTGTACGAGGAGAACGAGGACGGGGAGCTGGTGCGCGTCAGGGACTCCTACGTGGACATCGCCAACGCCTGCTGCGCCCCACGCTTCCCCACGCTGGGCGGGCGGGTCGTGAACGTGGCGCAGATCATCGAGCTGGTGATGACGTGCATCCTGTACGTGGTGGTGAGCGGCAACCTGATGTACAACAGCTTCCCGAACCTGCCGGTGTCCCAGAAGTCCTGGTCCATCATCGCCACGGCGGCGCTGCTGCCCTGCGCCTTCCTCAAGAACCTGAAGGCCGTGTCCAAGTTCAGCCTGCTGTGCACCCTGGCCCACTTCGTCATCAACATCCTGGTCATCGCCTACTGCCTGTCCCGGGCGCGCGACTGGGCCTGGGACAAGGTCAAGTTCTACATCGACGTCAAGAAGTTCCCCATCTCCATCGGCATCATCGTCTTCAGCTACACCTCGCAGATCTTCCTGCCCTCCCTGGAGGGCAACATGCACAAGCCCAGCGAGTTCCACTGCATGATGAACTGGACCCACATCGCCGCCTGCATCCTGAAGGGGCTCTTCGCCCTGGTGGCCTACCTCACCTGGGCAGACACCACCAAGGAGGTCATCACAGACAACCTGCCCTCCACCATCCGGGCGGTGGTCAACATCTTCCTGGTGGCCAAGGCGCTGCTGTCCTACCCGCTGCCCTTCTTCGCGGCCGTGGAGGTGCTGGAGAAGTCCCTGTTCCAGGACGGGGCGCGGGCCGTGTTCCCCGACTGCTACGGGGGCGATGGGCGGCTGAAGTCCTGGGGCCTCGGCCTGCGCTGCGCCCTGGTGGTCTTCACCCTGCTGATGGCCATCTACGTGCCCCACTTCGCCCTGCTCATGGGCCTGACGGGCAGCCTGACCGGCGCCGGCCTGTGCTTCCTGCTGCCCAGCCTCTTCCACCTCAAGCTGCTCTGGCGGAAGCTGCTGTGGCACCACGTGTTCTTCGACGTCGCCATATTTGTAATAGGGGGCATATGCAGCATTTCCGGTTTCATCCACTCCCTGGAGGGCCTCATCGAGGCTTTCAGATACAACATCGAAGACTAAAAAAAAAAAACAACAACAACAACAACAACAAAATAAAATAAGACTGGACACGCACGCACACACACACACACCTCCGCACAAATTCACTCACTGATACCGACACTCACCCGCAACCAAACGTGTCGAGGAGTCTGGGCAGGCAAAAGGCAAACGAAAAAAAAAAACGACACATATCTCTCTCTCACTCTCAAGAGTGTAGGTTTACAGAGCAAATCAACAACAACAACAACAACAACAACAAAATAAAACACGCAGCATTTCGCTCATTCCGACTTGCATACCGAAACGGAAAAATGGGTGTCGCGTCGTCTTCGCCACACGAGTTCGGTTTTCCCCTTTCTTTCATCCTTAGGTGTTTAATCTCGAGAAGTCCCTCCTTTTCCCCGTAGGAACGCCGACGTCCCCCGACGGGCGATTCTGCGCGGGTGTACCAAACAATGTGGACTCACCGACGGGACGGGACACGAACAGAACCAGAGTTTCTGTGTCCGCGTCGAACAGATTTTTTTTTTGGGGAGGGAAACGCAGGAAGGGCGGAAGTTATGTTGCCTCGTGCCTGGCGTCTTCCGTCCCGGCGATAACCTCGGGCCGATACGCTCCGGGCGCACCGCAAGATATCCGATATGGGCGGGCAAATAAATACACTCGCGGTGCCACAGCAGTCGCGGCATCCGCTGTAAACACGAGGAGAGGGGGAGAGAGAGACAAAAACTCATTTATTTTAAAGCTGCGCATCGAGGCAAATTATTTATGCAAATAAGATGATCAACTGCACCACAGTGTAGTGAAATGCGAGCTGCAAAGTAGACGACGAAGGTTTCAAATCCTTTAAAATGAAGCACCCTCTATTCTCCGGCATTAATCTAAAACCTCACAGCGAATCGCAGAATCCAAAACGGTGGAATTTAATATCTTGAATACACAATCGATTTCCGGCACAACCTTAAATAATTCACAATTGAGAACGCGTATTCTTTAGCTATAAAAACAAACAAACAAACAAACAAACAAAAATAGCTTTAGCATTCAGATAATAACAGGCGATTTCTGAGGTTGCCTGAACGCCCGAAAAGAGTCAATTTCGATAGAAGTACAGAAACTGGAAACTCACAAAATTCTCTCTACAAAGACGACGTCGCTTTACGGCCTAATGAATAGACCTAATTAACCCCCCTCCCTTCCCGTCTCCGTCTTCTGTAAACTGAATAATAATATAGGATGAGACTCAAGCACAAGCCCCGATTCTGAAATTCCTCTCTGAAAGTGACTGCAGTCCAGGTGCGCAGAGACGGACGAGTCTCCATACACGGGATTCGCGCTGAACAGCATAAATGATCTCCTTACACCGCACGCTCAGTAGGGACAGACCGGAGGGAGACTGGGACAATATTTCCTTATTTTCCCTGGAAAGTACTCTTTCCAGACCGTTTTTGTTTTGTTTGTTTTTCTTTAAAAAAAATATAAATGCATTTTATTTTTCCCTCTACGAATACGGTCTGGAAACCTATCGGTTTCCGAATTCAAATGTTTTGGATCGCAAATGGTTAAAAGAGGCGGAGTTTTGTTTTTAAAAAAGAAGCAAGCAAGCATAAAGACATTTTTCATTCTGTGCAATTCAACGGGTCCTGTGGAAATGTTATTAAAAACGTATGTGTGGTGTTATTGTGGTCTCAAAAGATGGAATGTATATCACAAAAATAAAAAAAATCTAAACATTTATCGTGGAAAAAAATAATATATTGAAGAATAAATAACTGAAACAGCTCGTTGTGTTTTTTTCAGTTTAAATTAAAACGATGTTTTTACACAGATTCCCTGTTTACAGAAAAACGGGACTACGAGCTATAAAGAGACACCAATCGCTGAGAATATCCTAAAAAGATTAATTGCACAGATCACCAAACGCCATTTGAGTTTATATGGTGATCAACAGCAATTAAGTCGACTGGATTCACGTTGTCTATTGCCTCTTACAGAATTAGTTTACCGACTTGTTCCAGTTTCTCGGCGGGTCTTGTTCACGGTCTTGAAAGGCGATTAAAACCAGCGCTCAGTATCTTGCAGTGCCGAGCCGCTGGAAATCACACGAGCGCTTCTTCAATGACAAACCCAGAATTACCAACCCGAAGCGCCGTGAACTTCAACGGCAGGAAATTCGATCTGAAACCGACTTCGTAAATAGGCCCATTCATTTTCGACGAGGCTCAATTTCCTGACCTGTCATTCGTGTAAATCATTTTCTTTAACGTACAGGCTCATCACGCCGCGTGTTTAACGAACGGATCCCAGCGAGAAGAGGTAAACAGAACAGGATGCACGAACTTCCAGATCTGAAATACAAACCCCAGGTATGGCCCAGATCAAGGATTAGAGAATCGTCGAACGAAAGACAACACGTGCAGTCCTCACTAAAAACACAGCTACCCGGCCTCTACATTTCAACGGCAATGTACTTCAAATAATTCAAGAGAAATACCCTGAAAGAAAAGAGGAATGTTAAGCTCTTTTCGTTCACCTATGGCAAATATTTACACCCCAGTACCCCCCCAGATTCTGCACGCCTGGGAATGAACGCGCTCGCCGGAGACGCGCTGTCCGCTTATTAATAGCCCCGAATAAAATGGATTTTCAGGAGCGGCGATTCAGATCTTATCAGCTATTTAATGGATGGCGGCGCGAAACGCCAGATCATCTTTCACAATGCATTCGTGAAACATTATTATTATTATTATGGTGGGTTTTTTTTTTCTTTGCCACCGGTGTCATTTTTCAATGATTAAATAATCACGTCACAGATCAAGTTAATTATGTGCCATTGAATTGGGAACAATATCTGTGGCCTTTCACGAACGAGACTCCGTATGAATACGAAATGAATTTTTATAGACCTTTCTTTCTTTTTTTTTAGATTTTCTGTTGAACAATCTCCTCGCTAAGAATATTTAAATCCAGCGCTGGCGCTTTTTAACGCGACTGTAGCAGTATCTGAATTGGGAGCCTCCTGATTAAAAGATTGAAAGCACATACTAAAAATGTCCCGACATCTTGCCCACTCGCGGATAAGAGTCCCTATCAACCAGATCTGGTCGCCGACACGCGGGGTTCAGGGCTGAGGGATAAAAGGACACCTCACCGCAAGATCACACATGTTCTGCACTGTTCCTCCTATTTTGGTATGCGTGTTAATGCACAATACTTTTGTCTATTTTAAGGCAACCGGTGCGCATTGCATTCTTATCTTAAAACAGGTTATCATTCTTTTTATGGTCAAAACAAAACGAAAGCAATATTAATCGAATTTTCCTGCCAAAACTGTGCACCACCAGAACAAGTGTTTTGCTCTTCAAGATAAAATAACGGCGTTAACAATGACAGGCGCAAACGCCTATTATTCATGACGCATCGCAGAACAGTCCCTGACGCCGCCGTTATCAAATCCAGCAAGACTTTTTTGCAACTGCACTGTTCGAGTTAGGGATTCTCCTTAGCCAAGCGCTTGTGCCAATAGATATACACAAACCGAGACTGTCCTGCCCTGCCCTGTCACCATCTGTGCATGAAGGAAACTCTCCTTTCTGCAGGTGTCGCATCAGTGGTCTTCGGGACCACTTAAAAGTTGTGGCGCTTTTCCTACAGAACGTTTGAAACCGGAAAGGCTTAGGCGACACTACATCAGAGTCAAGGGAAGGACAAAGCTTTGGGCATTTCTGTGATGTCGCTTCGGACACTGTCCGAAAGTGTAGGTGCTGAAAGAGGCGTCCAATCGCGTCCCGTCCCCGCAATGCGACATCAGAGGAACAGAAGGGAGAGGGCGTCCCCTAGTGACAGGTTAGGAGAACGGCACTTTGCTTTGCTCACGCACGTTTAACACTGATATTTACGAGACGTCACTTCCTCGCACCAAACTAGTCCTCTGTTTATCATATCGTACACACGTACACGTTGCGACGTGTCGTTTAATGGACACCATAACGCAGCTTCCAGTCTTAATGTTCCTGTTACGGTTTATGGAAAGTTGAGTTAATAACCAATTCCAAAACAGAAAACGAAAACCTGACTCCTTGTGAATTACAGAGGGCCTTAAGATTTTGCTCATGCGTAAATTAAGACGTAGATCTGCATATTCAGAAACGGAAATATACCGGTTTGCTTGTAGCTGATTCCACAGATTTGAGAAAGGCCTGCCTGCCCTCGCCAGGTGTTTGCTGTTAGGGCTCGGCAGCGGTACCTGTAAGACGACCGTGCGGTGTGTAATCGGGCCTTACGGACGCGCGGCAGGTGGACTACAGAACACGCAGGGCCTGGAGGCAAAGGGCACGTGACCGCCTGCAAACAGCTGGTCCACATCTGGCCGCTGAAGCCCACGAGCGCAAAGACGTCTGCTGAAACTATTACACTATACACCCGGGTGGTCGACCGAGGCATCATGAGATCGCGAAGTGAGTCGCAAACCGCAATGTACTTTTCTGTACGAAGTTCATATCTCCCTGCCATTCATTATCTGCCTGCCGGCTCATCTAAATCCGAATTAAGATGAACAGGACTTTAATTTAGGGCAGACATGACTGTAAAGCAGTCAAAACAGGTTGAAAATGGAGCTCGCGTTAATCTGGGAATGTATTATATGATCTACTGTACGTAGCTGGAACCTTTTTTAAAAGGAGGGTCACAACGAAATTGTGCTGAACGTGAAACCACCCGATAAAGGCGCTCCCACAAAGGAATGAGCGCTGTCTGTACCACACAAATCGGTTAAAACACGGAATACTAATAAATGAAACACGACCCTTTTCAGTGGAAGAACGAGATGTTCATTGTATTGTAAAACACGCGCCACTTTTGTACCAAGAAATAAGCGACAATTTTCCCGTTTCCTTTAAAACGAGCAGGCCGAGGTTTAGTTGAGAGCTGAATCATCATGCTGTACTATAACCCCCTTGTGATGGAACAGGAGCGACCTCAGAAAACGGTGTGTCGAAAACAACACGACTTAGGTTCAGGCCTTTTTTGTGTTAAAACCAAACACAAAACAGAAAACGATATACAATGTATTTCTCATCGGAGCTCAGAAGCTCGGCAGCTCTGGGCCTGATCTCAACTGGACGGGTGACGTCTCAGGAAAACGGCAGGTGGCGCTCTTTCCTCCGCACGGGCAATTCCAATCCTTTGCCCCAGAGAGCCGTGCAGTGGCCATGCGAGGTAGGTGGCACGATACTCTGGGTGAGGTTCAACACGGGCTCTGACTTTGTATGCGCAGCGGTGCGGGCGCCCGCGTCCCTGGCCACTGTGGGCTTGAACAGCTCCGCCTTTGATTCGAGGGGAGAAGAGCTTCCTCACTCCGGCGCCTGGCCCGACACAGACCGTCCGCCCCGCCGCGCAGCACTCCAGCAGGGCCGACCCCCGAGTCCCAGGGGAACGACCTGGCCGCACTCCTCCGCGTTTAAAGAGCTGCGAGATCTAACGCCATTCGGCTCATTTAAATACAGAGTACGAGGCCGCGTGACCGAAACCGAATTGAAAAAACAAGTTCAGCTTTATTTTTGTTTCTCTGAAACGCTCAGCAATCAACCGACCGAAAGCGAGAGAGGGGAAGAGACTTGTTAGCCCTGAACCAAGCACAGTCGACACTGTATGTACAGTAGTTTCGCTTCTCCGAATCAAAGCCACAGGGCGTGTTCTCCATTTACCTAAACATTTCTAAAATTAAAAGGGGGGCATTTTCCTCGAAAACGGGACGTGTGCTCAAGGACCACCTCCTGTTCAGAGCAGGCAGCTCAAGCCCTCGAGTTAAAAGGTGCCTGCAGTTTTCCGAGGGGTGTGAACCGGAGGCTGCAAGCAAGTCTGCAGTCTGTGGCGACCCCTGCCACTTAATTTCTTCTTAAAAGAGACAAGGACGGTGCATGTTATTCCCCTCAAAGCAGGAGAAATTGATTTCTTTAAGTGCCCTGGCAGTCAAGCATCCGGAGAGCATGAGATATTTCCCGATTCATTTCGACCAATTTTAGCAGCTTGAGTCTTTGATTGAGAGCCGCATTCATCGTCATGGAAACGGACCAGGACGGCCGCCCGGTGTCTGTACTTGGGGGGCTGTGCCAGAGCCTTCCCCAGGAATAAAGAAAAGCATTTATTTCCGATTGCACGGGCCCCGTATTGTCACTTTCTGAAAGGGAGATCCACACCTCTTCGCTCGAATTAATTCACCGCGCTCCAATCTCACATCTAAAAGACGTAATAGGCCCGCGAGTCGATAGTGCTCTTGCAGGGAACTGAGGCTATTAGTGTCTCTGGAACAGCGGGAAACAGATTGAATTTGTGCTACATACAGGGTGCCGCTGGGCACAGAAAGCACATTCAGACGGCATGTGAGCACCTGCCCAGTCTACCTCCTGGGTGTTGGCTCAGAGAGAGAAAAGAGGTGTCACTAGGTCTGGGTGTCATCAGGCGTTGATCACCCATCATGCTCGCTTAGCTGCGAGCAGCTGACTGAATGTCATGTGGCAGGGCAGGGCAGGGCAGGGCACACCGTTCCAGACTCTCACAGCCCTCGACAGTCTCCTGCTCATAGTCCTCACAGCCCTTCACCCCGGTTTCTCCTGGATTGTCCTTCACCACTCCTGGAGAAGTCCGCTGTGATGGCAGGACCTGGAACACGTCCCTCACCCAACTGCTCGATTCAGGGCTACACAGGGGTTTGCCTGACCTGTTAGCTGTTCAGTGCAGGACATCCATTCCAGTCCAGGGACCCGCTGGGTCACTCTTCTTTGGGACAACGCTACACAGATCCCTGTACCGACACACAGCGACCAGAACTGCACACAGTGTTCTAAGTGGGCTCGCACCAAAGCATCGCAAGGTCTTGACAATTTCACACTATTTTTAAGTGTGGCACTTTCAGATCTAGATCTGAACTTTCCCCACGGGGCTTTTTAAAAAAGGCCCGGAGCAGCGGAGCGAGGACAGGGCAGAGGCTCCTCCCTCACCCCTTCAGCTCAGCTCGGCCCGTGGCTCCGGTAGCAGGAGGGGTCGGACGTCGAGGCGCTCCTCTGGGGCTTCACGACTCAGAACCGGGTTGAGGGGGTGTTTAGAGTGAAGGGACACACCGCCTGGGCGATAGGATTCATGCGAATTGAATAGTCCGCCCTCCTCCCCCCCTTTAAATATCTCTCTGTGTAGGAGGTTCTACAATGGGCCGAGAGTCAGCATTTACTCTAAGGTAGTTCAGGCGGGGAGCTGCGTCAGCATGCGTACGCTGCAAAGGAGCAAGCAATAGGTTTATTCCCTGCTGAAAAAAAAAGAAGAAAAAAAACAAAACACTGTGTTTGCTTTCTTCTTTTTTTTCAGCAGGGAATGAACCTATTACTTGCTCATGTGCTCTCAGGTGCAGGCCAGGTGGTGGTCCTGCCTCTCCACGCTGCTGGGGGGTCTCGGGCTCGAGCCACATGGGTGTCTGTCCCCCCTTCCAGGGGCGAGTACCCACGCCCTTGCCCCCGAGATGGGGGGGGGGGTGGGGGGTGGGGGGCACAGCGCCCTCTGCAGGCCTGGCGGAGGAGGGACCCAGGCTAGAGCAGTGAAGAGGGGGCTCACCGGGCGCTGGCTCTCTCGCAGCACGCCGCCCCCAGATCCCCCCAGCCCCCACCGCGACAGCTCTCGGGTCCTGACTCAAAAAAACCACAGCTGCTTTCACTTCCTTCGGGTAGCCCAGGTCTGCAGGCCTCCTGCACGCACGCCAGCTCACAGGGAGAAGACAGAGCACAGCAGCAGGGTGGCGCAGGTTCCCCAAACCCACCGATCCTCAGGGCCAGGGTGCGTTTGCACCTCTTCACTATCCCTGCGGCTGGTCACGTCCCCCAGCTTGTTTCCTTCACGCTTCCAGAGATTAGCACACTGCGCCAACAGCTGAGAAATACAGGAAGGGGAGGCTGGTTCTCCTGACATTTCACCGAGAGTGTGTACTGCATCACACAATCTGCCGAGCGCTAGAACAAGGAGATGATGGATCTCTGCGACATCGCCCCCAAGTCAAAGCAATGAAAACCTGGACAAAAATGACTCATTCGCAGATTTAAAAAAAAATGTGGCAGGGATTTTACAGACGTTTGTCAAGTTTACTCAAACGTCAGCATGCGTATTCCAGGTAGTTTTTTTTTTCCAGACAGAAAAAACATTTTACACCTGAGAAAAAAGTGCTTCAGAAGGTGTCACACAACCTGGGTAGAATATATGATATTGTGCTCTTTAATAAATGGAATGATTTAATAAAATGGAAGGAGAGCAAATGTTCCTTGCAGAGTATTTAAACAAGATTAAAGAAATCATGGAAAGTTTTTGTTTTGGTGAAAGCAGTTCAACGTTGATTCATTATACAAGTTACACATAAGGTTTGGAATTTATTTGCTTAAGATACTGCTGCTATCTTTTGACAATCTGAATGATCTGAGTCATGTGGAAACTTTAGAGAAACGAACACCACCTTAGCAGCGTCTGCACAGAGGTGTAAAAAGACACACGCTGACAAAGGCACTGACAGTGGTTTTCACACGGAGAAGTCGTGGTTCATGATTAATTGTTCAAAGAAACAGGAAGCAGATATTCATGAGCTGCATTTCAGGAAATAAAACTACAGCCATGAGAACAATGTTTCATTTTTAACTTCCTCACTGCACAGGATTGACACTCACTCCTCCTGCTGGGGCTCCAGCTTGTAGAAGTCAGGTAAAAGAATTATTTTTATTACATTATTATTAGTGCCAGAATTAATCAGGAGCAACCTTATTGATATTGTTAGTACTTAGTACTTAGTGTTATTGCCAGTACTGTTCTCATAGCAAGCAGATGGACAATGGGAGCACATACATTGGAAATATAATTCAGTCACTGAAACGTATATCTGCTGTCTGAATGTGGTTGATTTACAGAATCTGACTGTGGATCTTTCAGGTTGTGCTCAGTAGCATTTTTTTCAGCTTCATTATTATTGTTTGTTACGGTTCATGTTGTTCCCACTTCTGTTTATTTGGCTTGCTTTTGAGGAACTTGCCACATGAATAAAAGTTGATCATGTTAAACCTTTATTTAAGATTTACAGTCCAGGAATGATGGGTTTTAACACGCAGGCCCAGACAGCGCCTGTGACAAATCAACTCTTTTCAGTCCCCTGAAAAGGGCTTCCCAAAACAGGCAACCCCTCACCGTTCAATCCAGCTGAATTCCCGATTCATTGATGGATTGATTTCGATGTATCGGTTAATTTTTAGCTGCTAAAACATGCACATTTTAAATTACTGGCGATACGTAACTGTGAACTCTCTTTCATTTTAACAAACGTCCTCATCAATCATGTCATTATCTCAATTAATTCATAGCTCAGCTGCACAGAAAACCTGTTGACACTCAGTTGACCCACATCAGAATTAGGAAGCCCTGCACTGCAAGCAGGCTTCACAGTGTTTAAGGTTATAAATCAGAAATCAGCCAGCTGTCAATCACTGAATATCATCCTGAATAACTTGCAGCAGGACAGAAGATGACTGCTGGTGACTGGCACACTGTGGCTCGGGGTCTTTAGGGCAGTGCTTCTGTGTCCTGGTTCTGGAAAGCCACTGTTCTTCATCTCCCTGCTGCCATTCTGCTCTTAATCCCATGTGACCATAAACATACAGCAAGTAAAAACAAGCTGTAAACATCAGCCACCTGGGACTAAAGCTCTTTATGCAAAGGCAATCATGTGTATAGAACTGGACCAAAATAATCTCAGAATTAAGCTTTTCATTGCAAAAAACACAGTAGAAGTGTGTTATTTTAGGAGACGATACAAAGCGTTAGAGGGATACATTTTAGAAATGCAGAGCAAGAAGAATCCAGGGATTTCCAATGCAGCCTCTCTGCTTTATATACCAGAAAAGGAAAAACGTGTCGTTACCCCCCAAAATGCTATCATAAAGACCAGAAAGGGGAAGACTGAACTGTCTGAGATGTCAGAAAATAAGCTGAGATATCAGGAAAAGAATCATTATCCACACTTCCTCATTTTCGATGAAGTACAAGGTGCTTTTTCTCCTCGATCTTTGCCCGCCCACCCTGAGTCCACCAGCAGGGAAGACCCGACCGATCTCTCCTCGCACCCTCGACAGCAGGAGGCGCCAGAGCGCCCTGCTCCGGTCTCACAGGCAGACAAGAGCACTTCTACATCCTGCGCGTGAGCTCATGCACACCTTGTTTCAGAGGATTGAGGACGGCAGTTCTCAACACCGGGGCAGGAGACGACTGCTTTCGTTACACACGTTACTTCATTCACTAAATGTGCTGCTTTCATCTGCACATGATGTCCAATAATCTCACGGAGAACCCTAGGAGTACCATACTGTATAAAAAACAGACGTTTAGAGTCCCTCAACAAAATCAGAAATCTCTTCACCACACACTCAAACTACTCAATAAATAATCACACAATACAGAAGTAAAGCGTCATTATTGATTAGTGCATGATGACTTTGTAGGGGTTGATGTCTTAAATGTAACGCATATGCGGTTTGTGTGGTTTTTGCCAGCTTCCATCCAGCCATTGTCTTACCACTTTATCCAGTTCAGAGTCGCGGGGGGAGCCGGAGTCTATCCCAGCAAGCAACGGGCACAAGGCAGGGTACGCCCTGGGTACGCCCTGGGCGGGATGCCAGTCCACTGCAGGGCACACCCACGCACACACAGAAACACGCACACACCAGGGCCAGTTCTTCCAGATGCCAATCAACCCACCAGCCTGTCTCTGGACTGTGGGAGGAAACCCATGCAAACACAGGGGGAACATACAGACTCCAAGCAGACAGCACCCCGGGTCTGAAATTGAAAGAAGGGCTCGAGTGCTGTGAGGCAGCAGTGGAAACCACTGTGCCAGCCTTTGCCAGCTTCCCTTTAGTCTAGTTTGTGTTGTGGATCCACCCAGTGAAAGTGAGGGGGGAGGAAAAGGAACCGATACTCACAGTGAGATTTTCATTGTTTGTTTCTTTTTCACCCAGTCTGTTCTCCCCAGAGCCCCGCGCTGCGCTCTCCTGTTCCTCATCTGGCTGCGGCTGGTGACGACGCCCCTGCAGGATGTGGAAATCCCTGCTCGTGCTGCTGGCCATCGCTCAGCGGGCCCCCGGGGCCCTCGGGGCCAACCCCGGCGTCAAGGCCATGCTGACCAGCAAAGGACTCGAGTATGGTGAGAGGCCCAGAGCTCCTGGCAGCCGAGCTTAACGCCCTGGGCGAAACTTCCACTGAACCAGCGACTGGCTCGACCTGCTCCACCGGAATATTTGCAGCTTCTTTTTCTTCCTACTCAAACGTTCGGGATGTTGTTTTTCTTTACTAATGAAATGCAATAGCTAAGAAGCAGCTTCTGAGCCCAAAACAGTCATGAACCGCTCAGAGGTCATCCAGGCAGGTGAGGGGTCGATTGCCTATCGGAGCCAGCAGTTTTGTGACGGGGGACCCCTGCTTTAGAGCGCCCCAGGATTGCTCGTTATATCACACTCTCTTGTAAAGCGATCTGATCCAGTTCCAGCTTTGTGAGCTGCAGGACCTCCACCGACAGCGGCCGCTGGAAGGGTCTGGAGTGCTTGACTACAGCCACCCTGCAAACTGTACACAGTTTAAGCAGCACTGAAACTATGCTGTCATGCTTATTACTCACAGTCTCTACACACGCCTGCTTCTCAAGAAACTGGACACTTCAGGGCACAGACCTTCAGAGCAAAAAGAAGCTCGCTTTCTCCTCCGCCTGCGCGTTTGACATTTGTTAGAGAGCTCGTGAAACAGTCTTTAAAGAGCGTTTGGTTTTTAACCCCCTCCTCCCCAGGGAAGCACGTAGGAGCCAACCTGCTCCAGGAGAAGCTGGAGGCGCTGTCCATCCCAGCCGTGCAGGGGGATATCAGCATCTCCCCCTTCGGCTCTGTTCACTTCTCCCTGGACAGGTAGGAGACACCGGCAGACACTGCCCCCTGTGGCCAGTAGGAGGAATAGCCTCACCCCAGCGGAGCCCGCTGTCACGCCCTCTGCAGCCAAAGGGCGCTCCTTCTCTGTCCTGTCCCTAGTTTCCGGTCTGCTGTCCTTCCTGTCCCTCTCTTTCCCTTGGGCTATATATTTCCGGGTCTTGCTCTCTGTCCTCGCTCAGCATTGACGTTCGGATGTCCTGAGACCCGCCTAGCACCAGGGCGCCCCACGTCCGCTCCCTGAGGGCATAGGTTTCTATACGGCATTCCTGAACTCTTTGCACTAATGAGCCCGGGCCTTTTTCCC